AAAAAAAAAAAAAAAACCTGTCCCCTAGAAAGGCCACCAGAGAGGAGAGGGGCTGTGAGGCTCACCCTGTACCATGTATGGAGTGCCCACTGCAGCTGGGCAGTGTCCACCCCTACTGCTTGCCCAGAGCTCGGTCCAGGTTGCTCTTAATGGTGTCCAGGAAGTCCGTGGTGTTCAGGAAGTGTTCATTCAGCTTCACACTGCCAAGAGAACATCAGGGGCGACTCAGGCCTCCTGACAGCCATCTGCCAAGCCCTTCCCAAGCACATCAGACCCCAAGCATCAGAATGACCCTCTCAGGCCACCAGGCAGAGGTCCAAGTTTGCCAGTAGCCCACTGCCAAAGGGCCACAATGAATTCAGCAGAAATAAGCCACTGGACATAGCTGCCAATGGAGACCAACTCAGGCCTGGTTTAGGGAGGCTCGGCCTGAGCCACTGCTCAGGACTTGTCCTGCACCAGACAAGCTATACTGGCTCATGAGAGGGACCCTAAGAGGGATCCCCTGGCTTTCTCCCACCTCCTCTGAGGTCTCAGACCCTGAACCCCAAAGCACACACTTGCTGAGGCCGTGGATGCATCCAGCCAGGTCCTTGGTCATAGCTCCACTCTCCACAGTCTCTACACACACCTTCTCCAGAGTCTGTGAAAACCTGCAGGGGATGCAGCAGTGAGGCCCTAGGCATGTGGGCAAAACCATGGGCCTGACCAGCTCAAGTCCTCCCTGTGTGCTCACCTGATGAGGTCCTGGTTCCCATCCAGCTTCCCTCGATGCTCTAGCCCCCGTGTCCAAGCAAAGATGCTGGCAATAGGGTTGGTACTGGTGGGTCGGCCCTAAGGACAGGCCAGAGGATCAACATCTGAGTCCCACATCAGGCTCATCCTCCCAGCATCAGGGCCAGTGGGCAGTGGACCATGAGGTGCACACACTTACCTTCTGGTGCTCTCGGTAATGACGGGTGACTGTCCCGTGAGCAGCCTCAGCCTCAATTGTCTTCCCATCAGGGCAGACCAGCACAGACGTCATCAGGCCAAGGGAGCCAAAGCCTGGGAGTGGGCAGATCTCCCCTCAAGGTCATGCTCAGAAAGCTTCACTGGAGGCCTTCTCTTCTGACCCTACCCCAGCCCACTGCAGCTGAGAGGACAATACCACCTCACAAGCAGCTGTCATCAGTGTGCTAACACTGGTCTGTGCTCCCTTCCCAGACCCCACAGCCTGGGGCTGTCATTCTTGCAGCCTCCTAGAAGGAATGAGCTGCCATCAGCTATTTCGCAAACGTCATGGTTTCTGCTGCTATTAGGCTACTTTCTTCTTCTTCTTTTAAATAATTTATTTAACTTTATTTTATATGCATTGGTGTAAAGGTGTCAGA